CCTCCAAGTTCATCCATGTTATGCGGTGTTTTGCAGATTCTACATTATTGTTTAGCATTGCATAGTATTCCATTGTGTGTATGTACCATAGTTTGGTTACCCATTCCTCAGTTGATGGACATCTAGGTTGTTTCCATGTTTTGGCTATTGTGTATGTACTACATTTTGTTTATCCATTTGTCATTTGGACATATTCTTTTATTTTTAAGCTATCTATGTTTTTATATTTGGCATGGATTTTTTGTCTTTGTAATCCTATCTGATAATCTCTGCCTTTTAATTGTTGTGATCACTTCATTTTCATTTAATATAATTATTAATATGTTTGGATTTAAGTCTGCCATTTTGCTGTTTGTTTCTTATTTGTCCATATATTCTTTGTTCCACTTTCTGCTTCTTTTATATTAATTTTTAAGTATTATATTTTATCTTGACTTATTTGCTAAACATTTTAATTTTTTTCAGTGATTTAGGATTTATAATATCTTTCTTGGTCTCTAGCAGAAATGTAGAAAATTTTTATGTAGTCAAATGTATAAGTTTTTCTTTTATGATTTATTGGTTTTGTGTAACACTTGGAAATACCTTCTTCCCTTTGAGAAAATTAAAATATCATGGTTTCTTTTAGAACATATATAATTTTATTTATATATTTATTTAAATATTTTGTTTATGTCAACTTTATCTTTGTGTAAATTGTAAGATATGGATCCAAGTTCTGTTTTTTCCCAGATGTCTACTAACTGCATCAGCAGCATTTATTCAATACATTCCCTTTTCTTACTAATGTGAACTGCCCCAATCATACATATTTTATTGACAATCATAAACCTTTTTTGCATTGTTTGAAGGGAATATAAATTTGATTATAAAGCAAATGAATTATCTGGAAGTGATTTACTTGTCATTTTTACATTATAGGGACTTGGAGAAGAATATAAGCATAGTGTGACTTCTATGAAGATAAGTACTCAGAAACACCTCCATGCAGGTGATACTGGTAGAGGTACCGAAGCAGAAGAAAAGGATAAAAGCCAGTCTTGTCAGCCTCAGAACTACAAGTCCCCTGTAGTCATGTCTAAAACATGTGCAGAGGATGACCAGATGAAGACCTTGTTAAAGAGTGCCAACCCAGTGAATGCTTGTTACAGGGAGAGCAGTAAAAATAAGACTTTATGTAAAGCCAGTTCAAGCTGCAATCAAAGCTCATGTGAAGAAACAGCTTTTGAAAAAGAGTCAAGGTATAATTTAATCACCGTTTCTAATTTTTTTGCTGTTGTTAATTCAGCAAGTACTTATTGAATACTACTGTGTGCCACAGTGCTAAGCCAACCTCACTGCCATCAAGTCGGATCCGACTCATAGAACCCCTCCTTGGGTTTCTGAGGTGGTATCTCTACGGAAGTAGATTCCCAGTCTTCCTTCTGAGGAGTGGCTGGTGGGAATGAACAGCCAGTCTTCTAGTTAGCAGCCAGGTGCCTTAGGCACTATGCCACCAGACCTCCCCACTGGGGATATGGAAATGCTGAAATGTGGTCTTAGAAGGAGCCTAAAATAGGAGATGGTGGGAAAGGAGTGTGGATGAGGAAATATAGGTCAGTTCATCTAGGGCCTTGCATGTCATACTCATTTGTTATTTTAACTCACAGGCCATAGGGAGCAATTTAGGATTTCAAGATGAGTGACATGATTAGATTTGAATTTTAGAAAGGATTCTCAAGATAGAAAACCTGAACTGAAAACTGTGTACCTGAATAATAGTACATGTGTTGATAATCTGTCAGCAATGATGTTGCAAGAACCAACATGTAAGTGTGCTATGGTAAAGGGAATGGATTTGTGATTAGTGTAGGGTGTGATGAGAATCTGGCTTGGGCTCGCCCTTGCATTTGTTCCCTGCATCTCATCTGCAGTACATATAACTTTTCCCCTTGTAGGTAACCTTTGGGGTTAAATTCAGAGTTGTAGCTTCTTTTTTAAACCTTTTCTTGTATTCTTCTCTGATGATTGCTGTGCTAAGTAAAACTAAAGAGGATGCTGCTGTATTCTGGGCAAGTTGTTACAGGACAGTGGGCAGAATATCATTATCAGCACAATGGATCACACCACCACCACCCGTTTGTCCCTCGTCAAGACCATTCTTGATGATTTTACCTTGATTTCTCAGGGATGTGGAATTGAAATGTAGTGAGGTATGCTCTTGGACCGGTCTTCTCTCCCTCTGGCCTTCCACCTCCACTCTTCCTCTGTTAGAGTTACCCTTATTGCTACCTCAACTAAGTCATTAATATTTCAATATTAATGCCACCTGAGTTACTAATATTTTCAGCTTCTTTTAAATCCTTTCTTTTCTTCTTTGTTGTTCTTCCTACCAGTGTAAGTACATGAACAGATAGTTATAGCGGTAGCTGTCACTGTATCTGTTTCCTGATATACAGTTCTTGCCTTTTTATGCACTATGTGTTACTGTTGTGGAAGTATAGTCATAACTTACCTTGAGTCATCCAGGAGCACAGGGTTCAAACACACAAATGGTTTGGAGTCGGGGAGGATTTTAAAGTGCTTCATGTTGGATCCTTAAATGATCACTGTTAGTACTTTGCCATCCTGCATCCATGCTCTTTTTTCCTTCCCACTGGTTTGGTTCTATCCCTTTTTGTTCCTTCCTCCTGTTCTCTTTCACTTTTTTTTTTTTTTTCCTCCCTTGATTCTACTCGTATCAATACTGTTGTTCTCTGGAGTATCTGGAAATAAGGCTAGAAATGTTGCAGACCCTACTTGGACAGAATTTGGTAGATTTTGGCAGGTCCTGCCTGTGGCTCTTTCTGCTTTCCAAATCCCCAGAATTACAGCATTGCTTGCAGAAACATGTACCAACCAATATGTTTACTTTTAGTGATCTGGTGTCTCTTTTCTTTTAGTGACCATATTTTTAAACATCCAACTCCCATTATCAAAAATAGAAAACAGCAGTTACCAGTAACAGGTATGATTAAAACTGTTTTTACTTTGGTTTTTCAACAAAAGAGATGATTAAGTGACTGATGCAGCTAAAAATGTACACTGGTATGTCTGCCCTCTCACATATGAGCCATTTCTTTGCTTCTGGCATTAATCCTCAGTCATCCTTTATTAATATCCAGAACCTTCCTATTTATCCACCAGGGTGGCTAGACGTGGGCTAAACTTCATGAAAACATTGAGAATCAATCAATCTTGCAAATGTCAGGTCCTTTTCATTAATCAAAAAAATCTTGCATTTTGTAATATTTTCCAGATCCATTTACGTTATGTTCAGATATAATAAATAAAGAAGTCATTGGTTTTCAATCAACTGACAATTGCTCAAAAATGTTGAAATATAGGTGCTCAGGTAACTATTTTTTTTTAATTACGTCATTTCATAATTAAAACGTATATGATATTAATGAACTAGAATTTGTAATAGTCCTACCTGTGTGATTAAACTTCATTTCCTTTGGAGAAATAATGATCCCGATCATCACGAAACATTAATATTAGTGCCTTCCTCCTTCAGAAGGACAAATCGGCACCAAGTTGAAATCCCAGTGCTTGTGTGTGTGAATTTACACACACAATACCTTTCTTATTATTACTTTATTATTCTCTTTTTGTCAATTAATACCATCTGTTTTGGTTAGCCAGTGCTGCTCTGACAAGAATATACCACAAATGGGATGGCTTGAACAAACAGGAGTTTATTCTCTTACAGTTCAGAGGCTTTAAGTCCAAGTTCAAGTGCCAGGCTCTAGGGGCTGTGAAAGCCCTTCAGCTTTAGACTTCAGCTCTGCCTCCTGCTCTTGGCCCACTGAAGTTAGAGGCTTTTCTTCACTCAGACAGCTGCTGGCTGCTGAGACTGACACCCTCAAGGTTGACAAGTAAAAAGGCACAGTCTCGATGTCACCAAACCACACAGCAGGCATTAATTCAAGTCCATCGAAAGTCCCAAGGTTGGCAGAGCATGGCAGGCTGCTGAACAACGACACAGCTACATGCAGAGTCCAAGCATGCCATAAGCTAGAGACCATTCCCAAAGCTATTTCTTATATATGGGAAGGAGACCACATACCCAAAGCAGCTACTCAGCTGCTCTGATAGATTCCACCATAGAGTTAATTAACAATCTCACTATGGGGAATAACTACATTCAGCTGCCCAGCCACTCAACCAGGTCCAGCCAAGTTGACACACAAACTTAGTCACCACACCATCTACAGGTTTAAGCTTACTGAATAAAATAAACATTTTTTAATATTTTCAGAGAGCCAATAAGTAGATAGGTAATTTGGATTGTGCTCTAACATTATAGGAATTAAGCAATGTCTTTTTTATTTTATTTTATTTTTATTGTGATTTGGGTGAAAATTTACAGAGCAAATTCACTTTGCATACAGCAGTTCACATACATTTTGTCTCATGACATTGACCACAATTTACCACAATGCAAAAGCTCCCCTCCCGCTTCCTCCCGATAGTTACCTTTTCCCTGTGTCCATCCCTCTATGCACTCCTGCACCCTGAGCTGTCTTCCTGTGCATAAGCACCCCTTCTTTCTCCCATGATTGTTCTCTCCAAGGAGTGTATCTATCTCAGGTAAATGTTCAACTCATATACCTGTATTTTGTTTGGCTGGAAGCCACAGGTGTGGGTTCAATTCCAGACCTGAAGGGCAGCTAGGGACCATAGTCTCAGTGGTTCCAACATGCTCTATCAGACCAGCAAACCTGGTCCCCCCCCCCTTTTTTTTTTCCTACAAATGATTTTGAGTTCTGTTCCACATTGTCCTCCCTCTCTATCCAGGATCTCCTACATAGATCCCCTTCCAAGTGGTTGACAGTGGTAGTCGAGCACCATCTAGTTCTTCTGGTCTCGTAGTCGTATAGGCTGCACATCGGATGGTGTACCAGTTGCTAGGACTAATTGTTTCCATGAATTTTTTATTTTCTTCATTCTTCTTTGCTCTGGATGAGGAGAAGATCCATCATTGCATCTAGATGGCAGCTTGCAAGCTTTTAAGATCCCAGTCGCTACTCGCCAAAGTAGGAGATGGAACAATGTTTTGTGTAGTATGTTATGCCAGTTGAGCTTGACATCCCCTTGCAACTATGGTCCCAAGCCCACAGGTTCAACTACTTGTTCCCTCTGGGTAGCTGGCTGTGACCACGAAGTGACTACAACCTTGCCCCTTGTCAGCTCTACTATACACCTGGGAATTCAGATCATACAAATAAACTTATAGGACCATTGTCTGCCAACCCTATACATGGTCTTGGGTACACTCTCCGTTTCATAGACACACCTACTAGTTCAGCCCGTCCACCCATCTATCCACCCATATACCCATGTTTGCCTTCACTGACAACGCAGTATGTAAGCAATGTCTTTTACGTTTACAATAAATACACAAACATTTCCAATATTCCATGCACTGCTGTTTCTTTTCCTGCAGTGCTCTTGCATAGGTGGCACAGTGCTTACTCTAGCTTTGCTTCCTGTTTCACGCCGTGTTTCCTCATCGTTTGCTCTGACTGTGTACCCCACTCTACAGACAGTTCCATACATTCCTGCTCCTCCATCTCAGATGAAGAATTTCTGTTACTCTCAAACTGATAGCTAACTATATTCCGAATCTCATATTTCTTCACCATTATAATAATTGCCAAGCCTTTCTCATGAGGCTCTCTCTGTCCATTAACTCCTTTATAAAAACAAACTGTGCTTAGCTATCCTCATCTTAAAAAAAAAAAAGAAATTCCAAATACATTGTGTAGTTTGCTATGACTTCTTGTGTCCGTCCGCTGTTTCTTCTTACTGCCAATTCCTGCTCTTGATCCCTTCTTGTTCAGTGTGTTCATGCCCTTCTTATCCTCTTGCAATCTGGCTTTTCTTTTATTGCCATCCACTAAACTTTAACATTAAAAGCTATCTGAAGCCTCATTTTTCCCCAAAGAGCCAATGACTTAAAAAAAAATTATTATCCTCTGTGGTAGCTCTTAGGAGCTCTGGTGGCGTAGTGCCTAAGGCACTTGACTGCTAACCAGAAAGCTGGTGGTTCAAACCCACCAGCCACTCCTCGGAAGGAAGGTTGGGCAGTCTACTTCCGTAGTGATACTGCGGAAACCCAAGGAGGGGTCGCTATGAGTTGGGTCCGACTCGATGGCACATAACAACAACAGCAACAATGGTAGCTCTTGACTATCACTCCTTGGAATCCTTTCCTCTCAGTAGTCTAAAGCTACAGTTCCCAGACTGTCCACCTTGGTGCCATCTGGCACTGGGATGAATTTGGAATTTTCCCTTATCAATTTTATAAGGGAAATACAATAGTCATCATCTGTTGGACCTGAATGATTGCTAGCTCAAGGTAGTTCCTAGTGTCAGCATTAGATCACACTACATTGCTTTTGTGTTGTTACATCTTTGTGAAGCCAGGAACTGAACTCACCTCTGTGACTCAACTTTCAGGAAAATGATAGGCCTATAAGGTGAACAGCCATACCAGGAAGGTTCTAAATTATTAGAACAATCAACCATGTGAGAGCTAAAGCTAGTATTTGCCCAAGGCAAGAAGGGCTGGGAAAGAAGGACAAAGGGAAATGGTAAACAAAGGAGGAAATGGTAAGAGTGCTGTTATATTGTGGAGATTGCAATGAATGTCTCAAAACAAAATTAGAAAATTAATTTGTAAATGTTCACCCAAATCACAATTAAAGTTGAAATGATGGGAAAATTTGAACACTGACTAGATGTTAGATGGAATTAAGCATAATTTTCTTAGGTGTGATAATGGTTTTCTGTGTTTATTAAGAAAATTAGAGTCTTAACTGTATGGATACATATGAAGTATTTACAGATGAAATTATACTTTAATGCAAATATTCGGTTTCGTAATCCAATATGTATGTGAGGGACAGCGCAAAATAGGGGTGTGAATTAAACAAGATTGATCATGGGTTCATAATTATTGAACTTGGGTTATACATACATGGGGATTCATTACATTCTTCTGTCTATTCTGTGTGTTTGAAAATCACTATAATTAAAGAGGTTAAAAACAAAAAAAGACCTTAAGGTTACTTTTTAAGTATTTATTTATTTACATAATTATTTTATTGTGTTTTCAGTGAAAGTTTATACAGTATGGGGTCACTTTGTTGAATGCCTTCCCTAACAGTGGTTCCTGCTGTGAGTCAGAGCAAGGGAGGTGCTCTTCTCTGTCACAGTAGCTCTATTCCATCTGTTCACATCTCCAGCCCAACACTCATTTCACTATGTTGTATTTGTTGTCTTTACTTCCTCACGTGACTTTGAACTTCTTCAAATTTAATTTCTAATTTATTTTCTGATTTGAATTCATTTACCAACATAAAGATACTTGCTTTCATAGATCTGTTCTGAGATGTTGTGTACCGTCTATACATCACTTTAATTTGTTTTCTTTTAGGTTGCATAGCAGTAGGAAAATCCCTGAATAGCCGAAACTTTAGCCAGCTCTTGCACTCTTGCTCATACCAATGTGATCGTCACAAAGTTATTGTTGAAGCTGAAGACAGATACAAAAGTGAACTAAGGAAATCAATTATCTGTAACAAAAGTAATTAATGCAGCAACTTTGAAACTGTAATTATGACTATACCTTCTGAACATGTATCTAAAATATTCAGTATATTAAAAACTAGAGGGTAAAATAATGTTGGAAAGAAAATATGTATTTGAGCAGTTAGTGATTTAAGATGTACCCAGGGAGTAGAATTAGTCTGTGGTGGTTTAAAAATTCTACCTGACCCACTAAGGAGTCCCACTAGAAGGGGAGAGCAGGAAGGATCCTACTAATGAATTGACTGCTGTTTCTCAGATTGATACTCTAAGCATGCTAAGTGTTTTCTGTGTTTTTCAGAAATTCTGCTGACCCCACATAGAAGACGACAACTCACAAAGGAATCTGCTACCCCTGGAGGAATAAGTGAATACAATTAATTTTTAATAAACTTAAATTTCATATATTTATGAGAAAGACAAGAACAGCTGATTAGTCTTGCACCCATCATTAAAGGCTCCTAGGTGTTAACCCTTAGCTCTGGTGCAGGTCAGGCCTTCTCAGAAAGAGGCTGGCTTTTCCTTTCCCCATGCTGCTTGCTCACCCACTGCCCGCCAGCTGAGGAATGAGCAGGCGGAAAATAACGTTCATTAAGCATTTGTCAGGTAGTTTATTAACATCATTTCCTTTAATCCTTATAATTTAACAATATTAGCATGTAGGAATTATTTTATTCCCACTTTAAGGGATGATGAGTTAAAAGGTAGAGCTTCAATTTGAATACAAGTCTTTTCTTCAAAAGCCCCTGTTCTACCCACTAAACCACATGTCTATTTTAAAATTACTCTCCTGCTCACAAGTACTTCAGAGAGATTATTCATAACTTTAGTACTTTCGACAGTTAAAACTGAAGGGACAACTAATGTCAGCCATAAAGTTCTGCTTAAAAATGGAATCATCTTAAATGATGAGTTAATTTATGGAAATTTTTATTTAAGTACAGGGTTAATGTTTCAGGTTTATCACCATTCCAAATTTATTGCAGAGATTTAAAGAACATTATCATTTTTATTTATATATGTGGAGTTAATACCTGCAGAATAAGAGTAAGCAGTTTAGTACACTGCTTGCCATCTACAAGTGGCATCTACAGGGCCTGTGTATGTGTTTATTCATTGCGGATACATTTGGGCTTAGTATAGCCAGGAACATTTTGCTACATACATTTGGCCATTCTCACTGCCAAAATCAAGAAAGAAACTGGAAATGTCCTTTTTATGTCTGCATCTTTTTCTAGGTCAAAACTTCTGCATGCAAATTAAGTATAGTACCATTACAGGGGAACCTACTTGTAAAACCAGTATTTTTCTGGAAACTGCTAGAAAATGAGTATCTTTTTGTATGAACATGTTACACTTAGAAATCTTGTTCTTGACAAGGAGTTGGCATCAAATTAATAGATTTTTTTTCTTCAATATGCCTCAAAAATAAGTATGTAACAACTGAAAATGTTCTATACTCATTTTATGTCATAAAGTCATCTGCAAAACCTCCTGACATGAGCATAATTAAGGTTCAGACATTGATTATAAAGTGGCATCCTGTTGTTGTTTTGCCGTCGAGTTGGCCCCAACTCATAGCGACCCCTCCTTGGGTTTCCGAGGCAGTATCACTATGGAAGTAGGATTGCCCAACCTTCCTTCCGAGGAGTGGCATCCTGCATATAGTTAAATGACAGCCAGTAACTACCATACAACTTTCATAGGTTCAACTTGCTTTAGCTAAAACCAAACAGTTCCAGACAGTTAATAATTTGGCCTGCTTTTTTAGAATTCAGAATGGCATCTTGAGGAAGTGGTGATTCGATTGATTCTGTGTATCTTTCTTCCAGCCTGGTCAGGGATGGTCACTAGATTGCCATTTTTAATTGTCTGTTACAGACATTCATTACCACTCCTTTGATTATAGGTCACACCTAAATTTTATACCATTCTTTTGAGGAGGGATTATTGTAGCATGTAATCATTTGAAGATTTCCCCAGTGTTCTCTTTCAGGGTTAATTGAAAGGAGTTGAAAACAAGTCTCTAGACCCAAGCCCTGTTACTTATATTCCCCTGATGCTGATCGACATTGGGAAGAAGACTAAAGAAAGCACTGAGGCTCCTCTCAGGCTGCCCAGTATTCTGCTGCAGAAACCTGTGAAGAATTGAGCACAGATACTAAGTATATGTGTTGGATTGGGTTCTCTAGAGAAACACAAAAACCAGCAAAGTATATATATATATAGAGAGAGAGAGAGAGAGAGAAAGAGAGAGAGAGAGAAATTTATCTTAGATAAATGGCTCACAAGCATGTAGAAGCCAACAAGTTCAAGCTGAAAAGT